GCGGTAATCAACTATTTTTATACACTAAACGCCAACAAATCCTATCAAACGATAACTGTTTGGATGCGACCAAAGTTGGGAAACCAGTAAAACTGATCCGATGTCACGGAATGGGAGGCAATCAACTTTGGCATTACAACCACAAAACCAAGAATATAATTCATATGGTGTCCAATCTTTGTTTAGATAAACCAAATCCCGTGAGAGACCCGTCACTACCGGTGATGAGACATTGCAATGGACGCAAGTCTCAGAAATGGATATTAAGTAATAATTACGAGTGGCAACTAAACCAACATTAATTCATATCAATAAATGCCATTTCAATTCTATAGTCATATATTTATATTGTCGTGAGACATATATTTTATTTTTGTATCTATTTTTGAATATTAAAAATATATTAATGTTTACGTTAATGCTATTTGTTATTAAATTGATTTTAAAATTTAAATACAATGCAATTTAAAATCTAATGTAAATACAATATTATCACAATTGAAATGTAGAAAGTGTTTGATATAAGTGTATATTCAATGACTTTTTAGATGCGAATTTCTAATGAAAATATTTTATAAAATTTACAATTTTATTTAAAATCTAATGTAAATACAATATTATCACAATTGAAATGTAGAAAGTGTTTGATATAAGTGTATATTCAATGACTTTTTAGATGCGAATTTCTAATGAAAATATTTTATAAAATTTACAATTTGTTAAACAAATGACATTCCGTTGAACTCAAAGTCTTGTGTCTAATCATTAGAAACAATGGAAAGTTTATTAATTTGGTCCAAACGTTGTGATTGTCTTTTGCAATAGTCAGCTGTTGTGAAGTCATTCTTATCGTTAATCATTGAGTTGTGTTCCTTAAAAGAGGTCACATTTGAGCCCCAGTACTGAGTTTCGGATCTGATAAGCGCTGCCAACGATGGCTGAAAGTAATCGACGCGACTCTCGATGAATAGAGGGATATCTCTGTTGAGGACTTGTGTCTCAATGTTGTAGTCCTGTTGAGTGTTTGACAACTTTTCTGTGATATTCATTAACTTTACGATATTCTGCGAAGTCTTCTCCTTTTCGGTATATTTTTGTTTCTTTTGATTCAATTTCTGTAAATCACATCTCATTTGTTCGTACTTTTTAATGGCGGCTCTCATCTCAATGAATGCCATTTGCCATGTCTTCAGGGGCTCTATCACTGTCTTCCTCATAATAGTGGCCAACTCTTCGCCATTTTTAATCGATTCAATGGTGAATGTGTGCCACTCTTCGACCACTTGTCGTAGTTGTGAGTCTTCTTGACATAACACAGAATTGGATAAATCGGTTGTCATTTTGCTTTCAAACCGATTCACAGATAGTATGCAATCGTTGAGTCGTTTGCACTCTTTGTATAACTTCTTTGTCGTCACTTCAGCCCTGATTTCAGTCAATAAATTCAACACAAAATTACATTCAATTTCAAAGCAAACACTCGTTTCGTATATAATCACTGATTGAGTGCCGAAATGTTTGTCTCGATGTTGTCGTTAATGTTCATCACTTGTTGGGAACCGACCATCGATTGACTCTTTGATAACTTCTTCAATGGATTCCTGTTTGAAAGACACAATCAAATGGACTGCAAATGACATGAATTAATACAAACCAACTCATTGTGGAGACAATCCTTTGGGACAAACGATTCACTAATTAATAAAACACTTTTAGTTGCGATTAAAAGTGAATTAATATAACATTATTATCCATATT